ATATAGAAAACAACCATTGTGGACATTGGGAGACTACATATTGGTGGAATCTGGGAAAAACCCCTGTTCATCCCATCTTTGAGCAGATATTTCACAAAGGAATCGACCACGCGGCTTGTGCGGAGTTGAAATGTAAATCCCTGATGCAATTTGGGTGAGGGCTACCCCATTTCCAAATATGGAAAGTGTTGAGAGTTTTCTTTGGCAAAAAATGCAGTTTTGGAGGGTATCTTTGAATTAATAAATCATAACTATTCTTCAACTTTTTCTTAAGACTTTTGATTTTCATGAAAATCATGCTTGGTAAATTTATGGTTAGACTAATAAAATTCGTAGAGTTTCCACGTCTTTTTTTCCCCGATCGTTACATGCGGTACCAGATGTTGCTATGGTAATTCTGTCACGCTACACCTGTGTTAAAAATTCACCATCACGAAAGATCTACATACCGGCACACAGTTCTCGTCTGTGATCAAAATCACTCTCCAGAAGACATTAGTTTTTATGATTTCGACCTTCCAATGTATTCATAATAAGTGTAAAGGAGGAAATTCGACATTATCATGAGCAAAGACAATTTGGCCATGGAGATTTCATTGTCGTCTTGAAAGTCTTTAGGTTCTGTAACCATGGAAGACTGAGGTCTACCATAACCAAAGACAACCTTAAGTTGCTTGATTTAAGCATCGCTGCTGACTTTGGTGAAAGTCAAGGATGGGGAAGTGAGAATCCGGTATCTCTGGTCGACGAGAAGAAAACTTGCAACAGACAAGGAGCATGGTACGGGCATGATTGAACAAACCATGTACGCAAGGAAACAGTAAACAATTCTATCATAAAGAGACCTCAAAGGAAACGCCATATTATTGCCAATTTAGCTGCAACAAAGTACAATGTCGGTAAGTAAAACGTACAACTTATTTTGAGTAGAAGACAATGTAGGCTTAATGGTGCATGTACGTGGTGATACTTCTAAGAGGACGTTTGATCACATTTGTTGTTCGTGTGTATCATTGGATTACCAGGGTACAAATGAAATATATATTTAGGCAAATCTATTGTAATGACACACATATTTTGATTTTAAAAGAACGAATAGAAGAGAAATTTATTTTCGTGCTTGACTTCGCTCTCATCAATTGTAGGAACTTAAAAGTACGACGTTGATCTTTTGAATCAAAGTGATCGTCGCCATGTTTTCTATGGATGCGTGGTTT